ATCGCCACATCATCTTCATCAGCATCATCGTAATCATCAGCAGCAGCAGCAGCATCGTCATGAACAGCATCAGCATCATCCGCATCATCATCATCATCATCATCATCATCATCATCATCATCATCATCATCATCATCAGCAGCATCATACTAAGCATCACCATCAGCATCAGCAGCATCACCATCATCACCATCATCATAACCATCATCATCATCATCAGCATCATCATCAGCATGAGCAACAGCATCGACATCAGCATCAGCATCATCACCAGCAACCTCAGCATCAACGTCCTTATCAGCATCATTTACATCATCCTCTCCGTCCTACGGCTCCTCCTGAAAACTACCCCAGGGCAAGGGAGCCACTGGACCCAGGACCTCGAAATCACAGGGAGCGCGTAAACATGTTGTACAGCGAACGTCCTCGATCGCCCTCCACATCCTCCTCCTCCACCTCCGCCTCTCCCTTCTCATCCTACTCGCTCACCTCCTTCCCCTCCTCATGCTCATCCTCATCATCATCATCGAAATCATCAGCAACAGCATCATCATCAGCATCATCATCATCGCCATCATCACCATCAGAATCAGCATCAGCATCAGCCTCATCATCAGCATCAGCATCGTCATCACCATCAGCATCATCATCTTGACTACATCAGCATTGTCAGCATCTCCATAATCATCGTCATCCGCATCATCGTCATGCCTTTCTTCACTATCATATGATTCGTCATCATCATCACCACCATCATCAGCAGTATCAGCAGCAGCATGGGCATCGACATCAGCAGCATCATCAGCAGCATCATCGTCAGCATCATCAGCAACAGCATCGTCATCAACAACTTCGTCACCATGATCACCATGGCCATCATCATCGTCAGCAGCAGCACCACCATCATCAGCATCAATATCAGCACCATCATCAACATCATCATCATCATCTGCATCGTCAGCTTCACCACCAGTTTCGTCTGCATCGTCATCTGCACCATCATTAATTCGTATCTCCCCTTCCTCCTTCCGCCGTCCTCCTTCTTCCCTTCTCCCTCCTCCATCCTCCCTCCTCCCTCCTCCACCCTCCGTCCTCCATCCTCCTCCCTCCTCGTCCCTCCTCCCCCATCCTCCTCCATCTTCCCCGACCTCCTCCCTTTTCCATCCTCCTCCATCCTCCCCCTCCTCCATCCTCCTATATCCTCCATCCTCCCCCCCCCCCTCCATCCTCCTCCATCATCCCCCATCCCCCCTCCCCAATCCTCCTCCATCCTTCTTCTTCCTCCACCTCCCCGTTTCTTATCATCTCCCCTCCTCGGGCCCACGCTCCCGCCACCGCACGGGCGCGGCGGCCTCCACCAGCACCTCCCCGCGGGTGTCCCTCTCCTTAACGGGGAAGACCCACGCGTCGCCCCACTCGGGGTTCTCGCCTGCGATGCTTGGGGGAAGGGGGGCGAAGAGGAGGAGGAGGAGGAGGAGGAGGAGGAGGAGGAGGAGGAGGAGGAAGGGGGGAGGACGGAAGAGGAAAAAGAGAAGATGGGGGGAGGAGGAAGCCAGGAAGAGAAGGAGGAGGAGGAGGAGGAGGATCGCCCACCATTGAGGGAGAGAGAAAGAGAGAGAAAGAGAGAGAGAGAGAGAGAGAGAGAGCCCAACGGTCCAGCGAAAAAACCTTCAGTGGGCCCATCGGAGAGGACCTTTTTTGCCACCCTGGCTGGAAGGCCGAAGACCAGCCAGGGGCCAAGACAGGGCCCCCCTGAGGAAAAAAACACGCCGCCGCCTGCCCTGTGAGCAGGTCATGGGGTCACCCCTGTCCGCCTGCTCTGAGTCCTGCGGGCTCCCTCGATTGAAAGCCAAGGGAAGCCCAAAATGCGCAGCCCATCCCTCGTCGCATCTCTGCCGCTGGCTAAAAACGGGGATGGGCCGCTTAACCCCGCAGGGTTGCCCGCAACCGAGGCCTCTGCCCTGGTCGTTGAAAAAATACTGTCCACCTCGACTGCACTACCGAAAAAACGCACGGCAGAAGCTGGCTAGTCGCACTCCTCCTACCACATGGCCTCTCCGAAAATCGCCTCCGTCTCGCGCAGCTCCTCCGTGGCCGCGCGCAGGCGCGACCTAGCATCGTTCACTGTGTTGGGACTCCCTGCTCGCAGAGCGTTGCACAGCTCTTGCGCTCGAACGCCTCGCTGCCTGGCCATCTCGTCGAGACGCTGTGAGAGGGCGTCCCCGAGGGCACACGCCGCCTCCCGGGCCCGCGGGCGAACGAAGCCGTCGCCCTGCAGGAGGCACGCGCCGTCACCCTGCGATGCGCCCTCCGCCCTCTGCCTGCGCCTCCTGGCCTGGCTCGTGGCCTGGCCTCGCCTGGCTCGTGGCCTGCGCCTCCTGGCCTGGCGTGGCCTGGCTGGTCGTCACGAAGGGCTGGGCGTCGAGAACGGCGTCGGACTCGGCGTCGTGAGCGGCGAGCGGGCCGCCCTCCAAGAAGTCCTCCTGCTCGAGCGCCATCGCGTCGGCGTCGGCGTCGCCGTCGAAGCAGGCCCGCGAAAGCAAAACGTCGCTCGCCTCCTGCTGCTCCTCCTCCTCCGCCGAATCCCTGTTGGAGGAGTTGTCAAAAGATACGACGCCTGAAAGATTCACCTCCAGACCCTGCTCGCCGCCCTCGGCGTCGGACTCCGCGCCGAAGGAGAACATGCCGTGGGGCTTGGCGTCGCGGTCGCCCCCTGCAGGAAGGGCCTGGGCGTCGGCCTGGGCGTCGGCATCGGCTGCCGTCTCCACGACGGCCTGCACGATGGCCTGCACGAGATCCTCATTCCCCAACTCGAGCACTTCCAGCGGGACATCGGTCTCCACGGCGTTCGCTTCGCTGTGCCCCACCTCATCAACGCAGTTGGGCATCTGTTTCGCGAAGTGCATCTCCTGCAAGTCGGCGTCGGGCACCTCTACGTGGTCCTCGGGGACGGCCACAGGAGCGGCCGCGCGGCCAAAACTGGGGGCCAGACGTCAGCTCACCTTGCGGTGGGGCCAGCGCCGTCCTCGTTCGCTCGGCCAGGCTGCACCCGACCCCCGCAGGCACACTGCTCCCGCGCCGCCGCCCTGCCACCTCCCAGTCTGTCGACACGCCGTCCGCTGCCGAACGCTGGGCTGGCAAGCGACGGTGCGCGGCGCCTGAACTCGGCGTTCGCTCCTGCCGCAAGGTGCGGCCAAGCCGCCCCCACCGCCCGAGGGAGCGCCGTGGCCCCCGGCTGCACGCGGTGAGCTGCCGGACCTGCCGCTGCCACCGGTTGAGCCGTGGCATCGACGCCGACGCGATGGCGGCCACACGCACGGCTGCGCAGCGCAGGCCAGCATTGCGGCGCGCCTGCAGCACTGGCTCCGCAGCCCGCGCAGCGCCGCCAGGCGGGCGCGCCAGGACGCTCTCCAGGATCGGCGCCGCCAGGGCCAGCCTGGGCACCAGCTCGCCTGCCAGCGCCTCACGCGGCTCCGCCATGGCGCCCTGCACCGCGGCAAGCTGCACGGCCTGGGCCGCGACGGCCTCGTGCCTCGCACGCTCCGCGGCGAGCCGCGCCTCCAGGGACTTGACGATGCCCTCCAGCTTCTCCACTCGGGTGCAGGCGGCAACCAGCCGCCCGTCCGCCGCCCGCCGCGCAGCAGCCCGCCGCGCGCGTCGCCCTGCCCAGAGGGAGCAACCGGCCGCTGTCGAAGGCTATTCCGCCGCCTCACGGGCAGCCATGCAGCCAGCCGCCGCCATCAGCGCCCAGGGCGCCCACCTCTGCGCGCGCGCAGCCCGCGCGCCCAGGGGTGCAGCTCTGAGCCAAAGTGGCTGCGGAAGGAGGAGGAGGAGGAGGAGGAGGAGGAGGAGGAGGAAGCCAGGAGGAGGGCAGGCAGGAGGAGCAGGAGTGCAAGGGAAGGACGAGAGGGAGGAGAGGAGGAGGAGGAGGAGGAGGAGAAGCCAGGAGGAGGCCAGGAGGACAAGGAGGAGGGAGAGGAGGAGGAGGAGGAGGAGGAGGAGGAGGAGGAGGAGGAGGAGGATAAGAAGGCGGAGGAGGAGGAGGAGGCGGAGGAGGAGAAGGCGGAGGAAGAAGAGAAGGAGGAGGAGAAGGAAGAGGAGGAGGAAGAAGAGGAGGAGGGGCAGGAGGAGAAGGACGGAGGCTGGTGCACGGAGGAGAACCACCAGGGAGAGGTACAGACTTAAGCTGCCGGAGGGGGGCGGCCCCCGCTCGTAATCTGGGAACGAGGGGGGGCGAGGGGGAGGGGGGGGGCACCTCACCTGGGACCGCCAGTGCACTCTCGGGGCCAACCTCGGCCAACTTCGGCACCCTTGGCAGTCTCGCGTGCCGTCTTCGGGGCACTGGGGCCTGGTCCAAGACGCCGACATCGGCTGAATCCGAGGGCCGTCTTAGGGTGATTTGACCGTTCGCACCGCATCGGCCGCAATAGCGTCCGAGACGGCCCAAGAACACCCACGACCGGCACAAGCTGTCCCAGGAGGTCCCCAAGAGCGGCGCAAAGAAGCGCGCCACCGTCGCACTGCTGAATCACACACATCCAACATGGCCCCAAGACCGAGGCCCCCAATAAGCTCCGGGATGCACCCAAGAAGGCCGCGAAGGCCCTCAGGAGCACCACAAGAAGCCCCCCTAAGAGCCTCAAAAATGTCCCCAGGGCTTCTGGACACGACCCAGGCGCAGTGGTGGGACGCAGATCTTTAGTGTTTCGCCTCGCATCAAAACCGCTCCTTGCCTCCGCCTCTCGCATCCGAACTGGCCACTTCTCAGGGTCGCTGGAGCTGGGCGTGAGGCCTCTGAGTCGCATGCTTCAGGCTGGGGCGTTGGTATCTCGTGTCATCCTGGATGGTCAAGAAGAGGCGAGCTCCGAAGGAACGCGTGGGGGGTCCGAGCAGAATAGTAGGGGCTACTCGGGGCTTCCATGCCGTAAGAGCAAACATAAAATCCAGAAGTATTTGTTGCAGACGGTCTGGGAGGCTTCCCAAGGACTCGGTAAGTTCCCGGGAGGCTTTCGGGAGCCCCAGTAGCCACCGGGGGGTACCTGGAGCGTCTCCCCGATGGGCCCCGAGGACAACGACGTTGACGCAGCCTGGACTTCCAGAACACTTGCCAAGCGAGAAAAAAGAATGCGAAGAGTTTGGGGACCCTGGAGGCACCAGTCGCCCGAGACGTCCCCAGAGAACGACCCAAACCGGAAAACAGCGCGGCCACCCCGAATCCCCGATGACTCACCACACAGTGTGGTCACGGAACCTTTTTAACACCCCCGACAGTTATGTATCCCGGCGACGGGTCCGTAGGAGATGGTCACGGTGGACTCGGTGCGGCCCGCGACGGTACCTGCGCGGGCGCCACCACTCGCCAGCCGGGGTTGCGGAGCCGAGCGGGCGAAGGCAGGGCGAGGGGAGGGGGGGGCCCTCCTCCGTCGGCTCCTTCAACTCGCTGAGCTCCTTCGAGGCTGCTTCTTAGGAGAAGGCACTGGCCCTACATCTGCAGATCAGGCCCGCGCCTTCGAAGAGGCAAGGGTGCTTCTAAGAAGCCTTCCCCCTCCCCCGATCCCCCCCTGCGCGTGGGCTGGAAGTGCCCCTGGCCCAAGGTGCCCCCAGGACTCCCAGGGAGGACCCCGCGGCCTCCAGAGCACACCCGCACGAGGCCCAGAGGCTCACCGGGGGCTCCCAAAATGGGGCGACAAGCGGGCGGCACCCCGGGCCAGGGGCGCCCTTGGCAGCCCGCGAAAGAAGCGGAGCCCAGATCGAGGTTCGGAGGTCGAGGTTCGAGGAGGTGTTGCTCGCCATTTTCATCGTCTCCGGTCGGAAGGTCGAGGTTCGAGGTTCGAGGTTCGGGGAGGTTTGTTCGCGGTTGGAAGGTTGTTCGAGGTTGGTCGAGGGTCCAGGGTCGAGGTCGAGGGTCGAGGGTCGAGGTCGAGGGTCGAGGGTCGAGGGTCCTGGTCTCTCCCCTCTCCTTGGGGGCGCCGTCCCCTCCGCCACGCCACCCCCCCCTCCTGCCCTCCGGCCACGAGCGCCACCCCTGGCCCAGGCCGCGCGGCCGGGTACATCTGCAGAACGGCAGGGAGGCCGGCGTCGGTGCCATCACCCCAAGGGCATTCGGAGCCATCCTGGCGGCGTCGCGGCGGAGGCGGCGGCGGTGGCGGCGGCGGCAGCGGCAGCGCGGGGGCGGCGGTGGCGGCGGCGGCAGCGGCAGCGCGGCGGCGGCGGCGGCGGCGGCGGCGACGTCGACGACGACGACGACGACGACGACGACGACGACGAGGACGACGACGACGACGACGAGGACGACGACGGCGGCGGCGGCGGCGGCGGCGGCGGCGAAGGCGACCGACGTCGCCCTGACACTCCCGGAGGTCCCTGCGCGCCCCGGCCCTCGGGCCCTCGAGTCTCGAGAGGCCCTCCGCTGCGGCGCTCGGCCTTCGCGCCCGCACGCCCCCCGCGCATCCCAGAGAGAGAGAGAGAGAGAACAAAAAAAAACGGGGAAGGCGAGAAGGGGGGAATCGCAGAAGGGGGGATCACAATCGGACCTGGGCCACAAGAGCACCCCTCAAGAACGCAAAAGAACCTCCGCCAGCCAAAACACACAGAACATCCGAGGGTACCCTCCGCCAGGATGCACAAGAACATGCAACAAGCACGAAGAACATCAGGGTTCCCTGCCCGAACCGACCTCGATCTCATCTGTGGCGAATCAGCTCACGAATAGGCGAGATCCCCGGCGCCCCCGGCGCCGGAGGCGTCCATGCATCTCGAGGAGCGCCCGGCGGCGATGCCGAGACCAGCTGCTCGCAGCAAATTTGGTGGCACTTCCATTCCCACTCCCCGTTCACCCGACCCAGAAAAGAAGGAAAGAAGGAGGAGGAGGAGGAGGAGGAGGAGGAGGGAGGAGGAGGAGGAGGAGGGGAGGATGAGGAGGAGGATGAGGTGGAGTAGGTAGAGGGGAAAGGTGAGGGGGGAGGGGGAAGAGGAGGGTGGGAGGGAGGGTAGGGAGGAAGGGAGGGAGTGGAGTCGAGTGCGTGGCGAGGGGGGAGGGAGGGAAGGAGGGGAAGAAGGGAGGGAGTGAGGGAGGGAGAAGGGAGGACAATAGTAGGAGTGTTGTGGGAGAGGGAGGAGAGGACGAGGGAGGAAGAGGGAGGAGGAGGGAAGAGGAGGAGGGAAAGAGCAAGGAGGAGGAGGAGGAGAGGAGGAGGAGGAGGATGCGGAGGCGGAGGCGGTTGTTACTCAACGGGTCCCCCTCATGGTGGGTAAGTATAAGTAAGGCCGGAGGTAGCAGGAGGAGAGGAGGAGGAGGAGGAGGAGGTGGGGAGGAGGAGGAGGGAGGGAGGGAGGGAGGGAGGGAGGGAGGAAAGGAAAAGAGCGAGAGGACGAGAGAGAAAGAGGAGGGAGGAAGAGGAGGGAGGGAGGAGGAGGGAGGGAGGAGGCGAGGCCGCGGCCGCTCCTCGAAAGGCCCTCGGCGCGCAGGGCGTGCACGCGGACGCAGAAGCTGACCTGCGGGGCGCGGCGCGGCGCGGCCGCGAAACGGCGCGGGGCCGAGAGCACGGTGCCCCTCCGCCGGAGAGCCCACGGCCCCTCCGCCGTAGAGCGAAGGCTTTGAGGAGGCAACTGCCGATTGGGCGCGAATGAATGGGGGGCGACAAATTCGGGGGTGGACAGACCCCCCTGTAGTAAAACGTGGTTCAGTGAAAACGACCTGGGGCCCAAACCTGGTGGGCGCAAGCCTGGAAAATAACGGCCACGGCGCCCTCTCGAGAACCGAAAACGGACAATTCACTCATCGACGTGTCACTGTTGGGGGTTCTGCCCACCCCCGACAAATGGGGGCGAGACCCGAACGCAAAAGCCCCTTTAGTGGCCCCAAGGGGCCCCTTTTCTGCGGCCCCCGCTGCCCCCCCCCCATCATCGCCCCCACCCCATCACGCGTCCCCCGAGTTTCTGACCAGCGATCGCTCGCGCCGGAGGTCACTCGGGTACTAGGCAGAATTAAGACTCATTGGGCTGCTACGCCGGATTAGGCCGCGGATCAGGCGGGATTGAGCCTGACTCAGCGGGACTGAGCCGGATTAGGCGGGACTGACCGGATCAAGCCGGACTCCGGACCAGGGCAGCGCCAGAGTCTGGCCTCCCAGGGGCTGCACCCGAAGAGGTCCGAGGTGTCCAGGCGTCCTCGGTGACCCTCCGCGATCCTCCGGCCTCGGGGTGCCTCTCAGCAGCTGCGCCGAGCGCGGACGGGGCCTGCCCGCAGGTCGTCCGCGAGCGGCCGCTGGGGGGAGCCGGGCTGCGGCAGCACGGGCCGGGAGGCGGGGCAGCACGGGAGCCCCTCCGCCGAGGGCGTCAGGCTCGAGGCCTCCGGGCGTTGCCGCTGGTTCTCGGAGGTATTCCAGCCTCCGGGATCAGGGCGAGAATCAAGGGCTCCCAACTTCGCGCTTCGCGCTGCGCGAAGCGCGAAGCGCGAAGCGCGAACAACTTCGCGCTCTCGCGCCGCCTCCCGGGGGAGAGGAGAGGAGGAGGATGAGAAATCGGAGCCGAACCGCGAAGCGAGAAGCGCGAATAACTTCGCGGCCTCGATGGCGCCCTTGAGAGTGGTGCCATTCGTGAAAGGCTTAACGACTTCTGCCGTCCTTCGACTCGCGCCAGAGCGGCCGCAATCTGCTCCAACCGTCCCTGAAGGTCTCTGGATTTGCCTGGATCTACCCGGATTCACTTGGATTTACCTGGATTGATCTGCATTTACCTGGATTTACCCGCATTTATCTGGATGTATTCCCTACCTAGGCTCTGCATAGAAGGGTTCTTACTCGGTGTGCTTAAAGGGCCGGGCAGTGGAACGCGCCCCGGGCGGTTCCCCCAGTATCCGCCCCGCGGTTCCCCCAGTTACGTCCCCTTAGCTTAGCGTTGCTTATCTCATCTTAGTTTAGCTTATTTCATATTAACTTAGCTTATGTTCATCTTATCGGGTGTATCTTAGCTAGCTTACCTTCATCTTAGCTTCGTTGAGTTTTAGCATAGCAGAGCACAGCATAGCATAGCATAGCGTAGCATAGCATAGCGCAGCATCGCATATCATAGTATAGCCCAGCATAGCATAGCATAGCGCAGCATAGCATAGCGTAGCATAGCGCAGCACAGCACAGCACAGCATAGCACAGCGCAGCATAGCATAGCATAGCATAGCTTTGCATAGCACAGCGCAGCATGACATAGCATAGCTTAGCATAGCATAGCATAGCATAGCGCGGCATAGCATGGCATAGCAGAGCATAGCATAGCAACTAATGCTGCTTTCCTAGGGACTCCAACTTCTAGGTAGGGTCGCACTGGGGTAATCTGGCTCGATCCCCACAAGTCGACTGGCGAAAAGTCGTCAAGCCCTTGGGGAGTCATAGCAAGGTTTGCTCAGGAGACGTGCCAGGATTTTCAGAGCATCTGGCGGCACAGCCGGTGAGGAACATGGTTGGAGATACGGGAGTGGCTGGAAGCCCTGGAGATCTTGGAACGCATCGTCCTCATGACCTCTCGCTCCTCTGATAGGGGGGCCACATGCGAACCCTGCCCCTGCCCCGCACGATCTCTGACGGGGCGGGGGGGGGGTCCCCTCGCTCGGGAGCTCCCGAACGGAGCGAATCCCACCCTCACCCTCAGAAATCGTAAGGGGTTCACCTCGCTCGGGAGCTCCCGAACGGAGCGAATCCCGCCCTCACCCTCAGAAATCGTGGGGGGTCTGAACAACATTTCAGCCGTCCGTGCCTCAGTGCCTGAGGAGGGGGAGGAGGAGGAGGAGGAGGAGGAGGAGGAGGAGGAGGAGGAGGAGGAGGAGGAGCATCAGGTTGCGAGGATCAGGCTTGCTGCTCCCTGCGCCAGTTGCAGTTTCAAGTCTCCAACGTTACAGTCCTGCTTTCCGCGTCCCATTGCAAATTGTTGAAGTCCGCACGAGGGGGGAAAGCCCAACAGAATCCAACTCACCACGCCCGGATCGCGTTGCCTAAATTCCAGGGGGGGGGCCTGGGACACGTAAAAATACATGAGATTCGGGCCCCCGAGGCCATGATCCTTTTTGCAAATTGCGCGATGGTTGCGTCCCCGGGGCCACACACCCTCCTTAAACTATACAAGTTGTGCGTTCCCGAGGCAACCAACTCTCGTAAATTACGCAAGATTCGAGTTCCCGAAGCCATAAACCTTAGCAAACTACGCCATACTTGCACTGCCGAGGCCAAGAGTGTTCCAAGGCGCCCGAAGATGGTTCCAAGACAGCCCAAGAGGGCCCAAAGAGGCCCCAAGAGCGCTCCAAGAGGCCTCCCGAGAGAGCCCCAGGAGGCCAAAATCGTAGATTTAAAAAGTGTTTGAAGGATTTTGGCCTTCTCGCATGTTTCGCTTTCCAACGCTTCAAGACGGCTCAAGACGGCTCAAGAAGCTCCCAAGACCGCCCAAAGGCAGCCCAAGACGCCTCCGAGAGGGCCCCAAGACGGACGAAGAGGGCTCCAAGATGGCCCAAGAAGCGCTCAAGACGGCCCAAGAGGGTCCCAAGACGGCCCCAAGAGGGGCTAAAGCAGGTGACCACGAACCGAACATGCGATACTTGTGCCCCGAGAAGCCCCCAAGAGGCCCCAAGAGGCCGCCAAGAGGTCCCAGGAGGCCCCAAGAGGCGCCCAAGACGCGCCCAAGAGGCCTCCAAGAGGCCCAAAAGATACCCCACGAGGCCCCAAGCGGCTCCCAAGAGGCGCCCAAACCGCCTCCAAGAGGCCCTCTTGGAGCTCCCCACGACACCCCAACACATATACAAGAGGCCTCAGACCCACGACTCGGGCACGGTGGCGGGATGGGCCGAAAGCCACTAGGATCCGCCGCCCCCTGCTTGCAGGGGTGCACGGCGTGCTGGACGTTTCAGGTGTTGGTGTTGGTTCGTTTTCTAAAAGAACTCCCCAATGGGCTTCGGCCCGTCCCGACGGCCACCCGCAATTTTCCCAAAATCCATCTGTCAATGCCCAAAAACGGCCGTTTCGCTCGGGACATCCTCAAAACATCGCGAAGATGGCCCAAGATGGCCTCCAAGTCCGCCCGAGATGGTCCAAGACGGCCTCCAAAACGGCCCAAGAGAGTCCAAGACGGCCCAAGACGGCCCAAGAGGCCCCCCAGACGCCTCCCAGACGGCCCAAGAGGCCTCCAAGAGGTCCTCCAGGAGAGTCCGAAGAGGCCAAAATCATTGATTTTCCCTTGGTTTTTGAAGGATTTTGGCATTTGCGCCTTTTCGGCTCTCCGACGGCTCAAGACGGCCCAAGAAGCCCCCAAGATCGCCCAAGAGGCCCCCAAGAGAGCCCCATGATGGCCCAAGTGGCCTCCAAGATGGCCCCTAGAGGGCCCCAAGAGGGCCCAAGAGGCCTCCAACACGCCCAAGATGGCCTCCAAGACGCCCAAGATGGCCTCCAAGACGGCCCTGGAGCATTCCAAGCGGGCCCCAAGTCGGCCCATAGAGGCCCCCCAAACGGCTTCCGACGGCTTCAGACGTGCCAGGAACCCACCAAGATGGCCGAAGTTGGCTCGAAGCTGGCCCGAGACGGCCCAAAAAGCCCCAAAGATCGCCCAAAGCTTGCCCAAGAGGCCTCCAAGACGGCCAAGATGACTTCAAGATGCCCACGTGTTCCCCGAAGGCTTTCCAAACCGATTCGGGGAACACGTGGTCCGATAGCTTGGCAGGTCTGGCCTCAACGTTCGGCCACATAGGCGCTTCCAAAAAGGCAGGGGGCGGCGGTGATTCGCCGTAGGCGTCTTCGATCCGCCGCCCCCTGTGGTCTTGCCACAGGGGTGCACGGCGTGCTGGACGTTTCAGGTTTTGGTTTTGTTCTTTTTCTAAAAGAACTCCCCAGTGGGCTTCGGCCCGTCCCGCCGGCCACCCGTAAGTTTCCCAAAATCCGTCTGTCAATGCCTTTGTTGCCCCAACTTGGCCCAAGATGGCCTCCAAGACGGCCAAGATGGCCCAAGATGGCCTCCAAGATGCCTCCCAGACGGCCAAGATGGCCTCCAAGACGGGTAAGATGGCTCCAAGATGCCTCCAAGACGGCCCAAGATGCCCTCCAAGACGGCCAAGATGGCCCCAAGATGCCTCCAAGATGGCCCAAGAGGCCTCCAAGACGTTCTCCAGGAGAGCCCGAAGAGGCCAAAATCATTGGTTTTCCTTAGGTTTTTGAAGGTTTTTTGCGTTTTCTTCTTTTCGGCCTTCCGACGGCCCAAGAGGCCCCCAAGATCGCCCAAGAGGCCTCCAAGAAGGCCCTATGACGGCCCAAGGGCCCCCCAAGACGGCCCCAAGAGCGCCCCAAGACGGCCCAAGAGGCCTCCAAGACGCCCAACATGGCCTCCAAGACGGCCCTGAAGCGCCCCAAGAGGGCCCCAAGACGGCCCAGAGAGGCCCCCAAGACGGCTCCAGACGGCGTCAGACGGACCAGGAACGCCCTACGACGGCCAAAGAGACCCCCAGGAAGCCCCCAAAGGCCCCC